TCCTGTAAGTCCCTAACCATATGAGTGGCTCTCCTCTGGACCCTCTCGAGTCTATCAATATTCTTCTTGAAGTACGGCATCCAAAACTGGACGCACTACTTCAACTACATTCTGACCAATGCCACATAGAGGGGAAGTGTCACCTCCTTGGATCTATTTGTCATCCATCTGCAGATGCATGATAAAGTGGGGTTAGCTTTGCTGATGATTTCATCACACTGATGACACATGTTCATCTTGGAGTCCACTATGACTCTGAGATCCTTTTCTGCTTCTGTGCTACTGAGAGGGTCACTTTCCAGTCAGTAGATGTGCTGGATATTTTTGTGCTCTAGGTGCAGCATTCTGCATTTGTCCTTGTTGTACTGCATCCTATTATGTACTGCCCACTTTTCTAACCTGTCCAGGTCTGCGTGCAGTCATTCCCTACCCTCCAGAGTGTGCACTTCACCCCACAATTTAGTATCATCTGCAAACTTGGACAGAGTCCACTTCACGCCCACATCCAAGTCACTGATGAAAATATTGAAGGGTACAGGTCCAAGGACCGAACCCTGTGGGACCCCACTACCCACATCCTTCCAGGTTGATACCAACCGGTCTACTACCAGTCTCTGGGTGTGACTGCTGAGCCAATTTGCCACCCACCAAACTGTGTGAACATCTGTGTCACAACCTCTTAATTTATTTATGAGAATAGGATGAGATACCGCATCGAAGCCCTTGCTAAAGTCCAAGAAAACAACATCCACATGTACTCCTCTGTCTAAGCGTTTTGTAACCCTGTCATAAAACGAAACCGGATTGGTCAGGCATGATCTACCTGCTATAAAACCATGCTGGTTTCCCTGCTGCATTGTTTTTCCCACTGGACTCCCACAAATATGATCCTTCATAATCTTTTCAGAGACCTTTCCAAGGATGGAGGTGAGACTGACTGGCCTATAATTACTTGCATCCTCTTTCCTCCCCTTCTTGAAAATAGGAAACATATTGGCCCTTTTCCAGTCCTCTGAGACCTAACCTGAGCGCCACAAGTGCTCAAACAGCCGTGCCAGTGGTTCTGCTATGACACCGGCCAATTCCTTCAGTACCCTCGGATGCAACTCCTCCGGGCCTGCTGACTTGAACATATCCAGTCCATCCAAGTGACTGCACCAAGTCAGCATTGACAGTTGGTAGGCTGGTGTCCCTCTGATGCCCATCTAAGAACCCATTAAGAGACTTATCTTG